AATGCAACTTAGTGAAGCCGCCTGAAGAATTTGTTGCATTTATTAATAATTTAGAAATAAAATTTGTTGAGGAATTTGACAGAAATTTTCGTAAAATAGGAGTAGGAGAAATTCTTTTTACTAAATTAAAAGATATTAGGCCCTTCTTGTGTTGTGAAGACTGTGACCCAAAGGTAGTTATTGCTCTATTTATTAGAATTAGAATTTATTTTGTGACAAAAATGCCCAAAAAATAGCTTTTTTTCTAATCTGGCTACAATGAAAAATGTCATAAAAAACGCTAATCTTGGGGCTCTCTCACACTGGAATAAGTTAAACATCCCTTTAATCCTGCTAGTGTAGTGAAAATAAAAAGGGGAGGTATCGTGTTGTAGTAAAGTGCTAATTGTAATGTGCTGAACACAATGCTCGCGACAGACTGCAGCAGGACGACAGTGAACTGAAAATGGCGTTGTGAATCCTACTACATAAACATTCGTAAGAAGGCAGCGACATAACAATGGCCGGCATGTACATAAGACAACATAGCTCTCAATTTGCATGTACACAATTTCGTTGTGGCCATACTAATACCTTACACTTCAATGAAATTTTAATATTTTGTTCAAAGTGAAATTTTTTATGCTAAAAATAAGTAAATAAATCCTCATCTCTCTACTGTCAACTCTACTGTCGTTGGCAAATATAAGAATATGTTGAAGTTAGCGAGAACGACAACTGTCGGCCTGCAGCCGTGTAGTCGAGCAGCTGCCAAAATAGGTCTGTCCATAAGAACGTGTGTATTTTAATATTCGACAGATGTCGTTTGCAGTCTGTCGCGAGCATTGTGTTCAGCACATAAAGTGTAAAGTGATACAAGACATGGAATTATCAACTAACGAAATCCCCGAAATATATGTACATATATGTACGTAAAGTATAATCAAAACAAAAATTTAACAATTGTACTATAAGCTTCATTTAGTCAACCACGTGCGTGAATGAAAACTCACCATCGCTTTTATCGTCCGTAATGTGGATATTTGCGCAAATTAGATTTCCGTAGAAACGAGTTCGCTCTCTTAAACGCAGGGTTGCTGGTCTCGATAATTAGTAGTAATTAAAAAACTAAACCTGAAGATATTTGAAACATTGCTTAAATGTGTTCAAGAGACAGCAAAAACAACTACGTTGCCACTACGGAAGGGCGGCACGTCGACGACCAAATAAAGCATGATACTCTCGCAACATGTTGGTACAGGCATACGGCTATGCAGGGAAACTTTTTAGACATTTTGCTTTACATTTCATTAATTTAAAAGCACTCGCATGTGCTTTCGTTTGAGTAAAACAAAAAAGTCTATTCGTCGTTGTGCGACGTTTCTTGGAAAATATCTTAAATCTAGCGTACTAGATAGGAAGAAAACATTAGGAAGAGAAGAAATCACTAGCTTAAGAGAAGACCATGCTTACTTAAGAACAAGTTTACAAGACCGATTTAAAAATATAGCAGAGTTGCAGAAGTCATTTAGTAATAACATTCTAGCTTGAACAGTTTCTTGGGGATGCTAAGAAGAAATCCAGTAAAAAAAAGCTACTCGGACCAGAAAAGTTAAAGAAAAGCAGTCAAGTTGGATTGAATATGAAATTCACTGGACGTAAACCAAATGGAAATCTGTAATGATTTCTGACGAGTCAATGTTTAAACTTATTGGACCTGAAAATTGTCAAACAGTTCGCCGCAGAGGAGGTGAACGATTTGCAGAAAATTACTGTACTGTCAAATATTCTTCCTATATAATGGTAAAGAGATGCATTTCCGAATACAAATCGGTAGTAATTTTAATATTGTATTAGAGGGTTAAGTGAACGCTTAGAAATATAAAAATATTATAATGGAGGGAATGGTATCAAGCTTGGTGCTAAACGGTGAATAAACGAAAATGTTCCAAGCCCTATGTTTTAGAATAGTTCGGTAACTTAGACAATGAAGATTTTTCATCCCCGTAATATTTTTTAATTTTAAATCGTTAATTTTAACATTTAAGATTGGAAAACTAAAGGAAGATTTGGATACTACTTTATTGGATTAGCCATTAAGCGTCCAGATCTCAATCCAATAGAGAACGTAAGGATCCTAAACGCTAAAATGTACAAAATTAAACCAATGGTTGAAGTGAGGCAAACAATAAAAGAAGTATGATTCAAAGCAGTAATCGCCGAATATTTAAGCGCCTAATACAAATCCATCACAAAAAAGAGATAAAAAAAATGTTATAAACACTAAAGCTGACATAACAAATTAATAAAAAGATATGAGCAAAAGAAATGTTTTGTTTCAAAATTATGCATTAATTAACTTAAAATTAAGTATTACTACAAAAAAATATAATATTTCTAACAATAGTGATAGTAAACATTAATGTCGTTACTTAAAGTTTGAAAAAAGTCGACTATTATTGAAGGGACTGTACTGTATGCAAAATCATCACGCATATATAATATTAAATTCTATTATTATTACTATAATAAAAGGACAAAAAATTTTAAAAGTAAATGTATGGGATTATAAATTTTCAGTGAATATTTTTCACTTTCAACAGCAACCAAAGTACAATACAAAATTGAAAATTGCAGGGGATTGACTGTTTCTACCTTTTTAGGTTTACTGAATATTTCTCACAAAGCACTAGAGTTACAATAATAAATTCGCTCGAGAGAAAGACTTTGCGCAAATAGTACACTCAAGCTATGACATCTAATGTCCAAAGATAGTCGAAATAACATAATATCTAATCAAGTCCTCAGATGTGAACCTAAGCTCCCATGGCTGATTCTTTACCGAAAATATCGGTCAGTCTGAGAATTGAAGTATAAAAATCTCAAAACAAAAAAAGGTGGTTTTATGATAACAACAGTTCCTTGTTCCGAAAATCGATAAAATATGAAATTGTGTGAAATCGTTCGATTTTCGTCAATTTAGCTTAACTTTAACTATTTTATGATGTGCAACATCTATAACATTTTAATAAAATTATGCGCATAATTTTCTTTTTCTTATTTGTGGTTATGGTTTACTGCTAAATCTCATATCCCTAATATAAAGATTTCCGACCGTCTGGTCAATGTTTTCTTCATATACATATGTCTCATTTGAGTTAAATAGGTTGATCTTTATACTTATATTTAGAACATGCATGGGGGCCCACGACTTATAATATACCACAGCTAGAAATAGAGAAAATTTGATTGTATTCTGTTCAGTTTCTTCTTGTTATCCACGTTGAATTGTTTCGCAAAACTTTTTTAACAAAAAGTTTTCACCACCTGATAGAATTTCCTCGCCTTATAATTATATATTGATTTCGAGTTATTATTTCTGTACAATGTTGTTGTACAGTGACTTTTATTTAAGAAACATTTAACCCAGAAAGCTTATCATTTTTATTATACTTTTCTATAACGCTCGTAGTTTTTCCGGAAACTGAAATCAACAATTTTTGATCCTTGGAGACGAAAGCAGACTTTTCCAGCGCTTATTGATCTTGGACAACAAATAAATGGAACTATGTTGTTTGGAGCGAAGTAACACAATAAATCGCATAGATTCTGATGGTCGAAGGTATGTTTGCCGACCAATCTATTAAAAATTTGATCCTCACTATGTTTCATGCGTGGTGAGTCATGGTGGAGGATCAATCATGGTGGGGGAATTTTTTACTGGGGTGATGTAGGTCCGCTCCATATGATTGATGGAATTTTAAATAAGGATAAATGCGTCGACATCCTAAAAAATGTCAATCTGCCATGGGCTGCGGACAATTTGCCTATTATATGGACATTCACAACACAACACAAAAGTTTTTTGTTGAAAATTTCATGAATGTGGCCTGAAGAGAACACATCTAGGTTGATGTCAAAAAAGCTGTAGGTATCAATAAAATCACAAATATGGATGTTCTTTTTGATGAAATTTGGACGGCATGGCCAGCAACACTAGCGGAGCGCTATCAGAGTCTTATAACGTCAATTCGCAGTGGATGTGAAGCAGTATTAAAGTAAAAGGGTTAAGCAACAAAATACTAATTGAAAGTAAGCAATATTTTTAATAGTTGTATTTTTTGCTGATAAAAAATTTTCGTTCCTAATTATCTGTCGCACTCAAATCGTTGATTCCACTCATTTTTATGAAAATCTTCGAAAAAAAAGGATTTTTAATTAAAATTTTTACTATTAGAGTTTAAGTTTAACATAAGTTTCAATAAAATGAGTGAAAAATCGGTAAAAATAAGTGATTTATTCCAAAATGATTTCATTTACTTCAAAATAACTCGCGTTTCTAATAAGCTGTCAACGGCTGTATATATAAAGCAAATCTGATCCAGAATTGGTCGGTCCGTGTATGTGTTATCTGAAGTATATGTACTTATAAATACATATATCGCTTAAATTGCGATCCTCTGGTTTCCTGCAAGTTTTCACATGTCCTTCTATCCCCACGAAAGGGGCTCATTTGTCGGAACCGCCGATATCGGACCACTGTATATAGCTACCATACAAACTGAACGATCAAAATCATGTCCTTGATTGAAAATTTTTTTATTTAACGAAATATTTTAATGAAATTTAACTTTTTTGCAAATACCAGAAAATATTTCCTGTGTTTAGAGCCTTGGTAACTGCGAGAGTAGTAAATGTTCGCTTACAGTCGAACTTAGCCTTTGCTTATGTTACATAGGTTTGTTTTTGTGGCCAAATTCAGTTTTAGTACCTCATTATTGAAGAAAGTTATTTCTCATATATACTGGATCTGATAATTACCTATCGCATAAATGTATATATCTCATTAAATTTTTAAAGATTAATTAAAACGAATACATTATGTTTTGATATAATATTTCTTTAAACATTACGTAATAACAAGGCATATTCACTAATTGATTATAATTTTTTTTTTTTAATATAATACACCTTTAAAAGTGAAATAATAACAAAATTTCATTTTAACGTCAAATTCATTTATTCAAACAAAAAATATTTTTATTTTAAAATTTAATTGTAATCTTTTGAATTGAAATGACATATCAGTTGGAGGCACAGGAATACGCGGTATTAAAAAAAATTGACAACTTTTTGACTGCCAACAGAAATATAATATGTTACAAGAGTATAATAGTTTTTTAGCACCAAAAACTGTAATTTGAAATGTCGAATTGTATTGCTGAACATGACTCAAACAAAGCTTCGACGTGGGACAACAAGAATTAATGATTACAATTGTTCCGGTGGAGTTTTTAATGCTAGCAATCTCACTTTGCCATTAGCAAACAGTTCCCGGGCGTATCACCTTGCAAGTTAGCCGGATCACAATGTGGACAAATTGCAGACATCAATCCAATGTAAGCGTACATACTACTTATAATCAATCTGACCGTTGTAATTAAAAGCAACACACACTTTTCAGGAAAAATAGTACGTCGTATTCGTGATCAAAGTGCAATTTCAGTACAAATATAGGATCAACAGATTTATTTCGTGTCGTTTCGTAGTCAGAACATAACTCGAAGATTTGGTTTGGATATGTGAGCCCGTTTTTAAGTTATAAAATTAAAACGAAAAGTGGCATTGCATTTTATATACATTCTAAAGGACCCGTCCACGCTTTACTGTGGCTGATACATAGAGGGTACTACTAATACAATCTACATGATTTCTAGTCAGCCCTTACCTTTAAAAACGCGTATGCAAATTTAACAACTGAGGAACTACTAGTTAATGAGATATAGCATTTTGTGTAAAGTAACTTGTGTTCGTTTACAAAAAATCTATCAAAAAGCATTTCATGTGTTAATAAGGCATTGCCTTTTGGGGGAAAAATAATGTTGAATGTAAGCTCTGCTTCAGGGAAGTCGACTGTTGAAAAGATATTTGCTAAGTTGGAAAGAGGCGAAATGAGCACCGAAGACAATGAAGGCTCTGGACACATTAAAGAGGCGAAAGCTCTGTTCAAAGCGGGTGCCCCGCAAATTCATAATCCAACAAAAACAACGAATCGCTGATTCTGAGGAGTGTTTCACTGCTTTTTAATCGTAATAAAACCGAATTTTTGCATCCGTTTATAACAACAATCGATTGGAGTCCAATCGACAGTCAGCCCATTAGACTCCACATAATGAACCAGTCCTTAAGCTGGGAAAGACGAAAAGGTCGGCTGGTACGGCATCAGTCTTTCCGGATGCACGTGGTATAATATTTTCAGCCAAAGCCGTTCTTAAGTTATAAATAGTGTAACTAACACGACTTTATATATAGTATATATATTGAATTCATTTTATACAAAAGAAAAAAGAAATTGTTCAATCCATTTTGTTCAAACTTCACCAAAACCATCTACCAAATAGTCCGACCAAAGCTTAAAGCTTTGGCTTAGATAGGTGAGCTTGAGTTCCTAAATTATATTACAACGAAAAGTGGCATTACTTTATATTGTATACTAGCAGCCCGCACCGCAATAAACCAACCACCAGTTGGTCTTGAGTAAAACATTTTTATCGCATGTCAATCGCTACTAATTCGATAGTTTGGCCATGAGACTCTTTATAGTTTGAACGAAAGATGTTTTCACCGGAAATTGAAGCCATTTAAATGGGTTTCAGAGATCACTTGGGATTATTGGAATCATCGGTATATGAGCTGGTTGTTCAGCTGCTGGGTCGGTGATAATAGTTGCTACAATTAAATTGTCCTTCAATTCCTTAATAAGCAGCCCCGTCCCATTGCGCATGTTTTTAGGGCTTAAATTCCACATATGCATAATTGGAAATCCAATTTTTAAATACAATTTATGTGGTGGGTTTAAGAATTTAAAAACTCCTGGGGATCATGGGCTGCGTCTTCAATATTAGTCACGGTGTATATCGATTTGTATTTTTTTATTTTTGGGGGACCTTTTTGAATAATTAGATCGTTTATTTACTTGACACTATCAATGTTGAGTGACAGGGCACTAACACAACCAATGAAATTTCTTTTCGTGTAAATTCTTGATGTCAGGGTATCCTGCATCTATAGAGTCCATAAGGGCGACGGATTAAGCATGCTTTTATGGTATCTGCTCACATACCTCTGCTAATGACAGGAAGAGTTTGTCGTGTGCTATTTATTGTTTCATGTCATTCTAATCATATGCTGTAAAGGGCTATATGGATCTATATTGTCAGCGTATTTAAGGTATTTAGTTGGATAAAAGCTAATGCTTCAAAAATTACCCATTATTTGTCGTAAAAAGAAAATGGCAAAAAAATGTTATTGTGGGATATCCATAAGAGATACATACACCATCGAGGAGTCTTCTGTAGAACTTTTCAATGTTTACAAGTACAATACCTAAGTGTAATGTACTAATACATTATTTTTATCTCGTACGGTTCAGCCTGCAGAAGAAATGTAATTATTTACGACATCATATTAAAACCTTCAAATTGAATAGTATTTCTCTACCATTTAATGGATGTTATTATACATATAAACCATCAATTTAAACACTCTATCTATTAAAAAAAAACGCCTCAAAATCCGTTGCGTAGTTTCAAAGATTTAAGCATACATAGGGACAGAGAAAGCGTAAAAATCTGCAATTGAAAACAAATTAACTAGCGGGAATCAGCTAATACGCTGAAAGAGCAAATATGTGAAATTCTCTGCAAAAATCCTCGCCAGGAATGATTAAGTACCATTCTTTCAAAACAAAAAATTTTAGCATATACATATAAAAATATCAAATAAATGATTTAAAGAGAATTAATTTAAAAAATTACCGATTAAATAGGTTGCGTACGTTCTCTTCACTTTGTCCAATATATTTAGCCAACAGTTCGGGGCCCTTAACGGATATTGTACGTAAATTCCATGAACGTGCAATTTTAGATACAAGAAACGTTTTACCAGTCCCAGGCGGACCATACAGTAAAACGCCAGCCTGATTGCGGAGCGGAGAATTTTGGAAAATGCTTGGGAACTACAAATAAAAATAGTGATTATGAAAATTTATTGCTTGTAGGGATACAAAAGGACTTCAACTTACTCGAGATGGCCACATCAACACTTCCTCTAATACGGAAACAACTGGTTCTAAGCCCGGCACTTCTTCAACCGCCAATTCCTCGAGATTGTCATCGTCATTAATCTTTTGATGGTTCTCAATACCTTGAAGGCAATAGGAATTCGTATTCGCCAGTGAATCGTTTAAGAGTTCATTTGTGAGGATCGGATGCGTTTTACCTGTTCACAAACATATACGAAAGAAGTTTAAGTGTATATAAAGTTGAAAAAATATATAATATAGCAATGAATTAACTTATTCTATATGCGTAAAATATAGCACGCTCAACCAACTGTACTAGATCTCCTTTAGTGTAGCCTTCAGTTAGGTTTGCAAATTTGCACAAATCTAATTTCTCCGTTTCGATATGACTGCAAAGCTCTTGAAGTATCAATTCTCGTCCCTCACGTTCCAGACTAGGTAATTTAGTTACATTTTGAAAAAGATGGCGTCCTCGTGGCGAGTATAAACGTTTATTTAAAGCTTGAAGCTCACTGACTGTCGCGATTACTGAAATGGGATTGTTACTAGTATATTGCACAATCAATTGGTGTACAGTATCGGCGATTCGGTTATAATATTCGCCATCCTGTGTTGTTTGATCGCCTGCAAAATGAGCTAGTACATCGAGGTTTTCCAGCACGACAATGGAAGGTGCATTTTGCAGGCATGTTGTAAATATACTACGCAGGTCTTTTTGTATTGATTCAGCCTGTAAGCGCGAACATTTTACTAACAACACATTATCAATTTTCTCATTTAAAAAGTCAAACCTTTCTTCCTTTACTCCTCGAACAGTAAAATATATCGAAAAAACAAAAATAAGGCTTCTTCACCAACTCGTCTAATATTCTCTCCACCACTACAGTTTTCCCCGTACCAGATGCACCTGTGGAATAAGAATATTAAGCTAAATTTATCGAAATGAGTTTGTTGCCAATTTACCTGCGATAAGAATATTTCCTTGTCTCAGTATTGCATTCTTTGAATCCAAGCACAAATTCATTTTTAATTCATCAACCAAATTAACAACGATTTCATCAAATGCTGGCAGTTTTATCAAATCTTTAACACTTAACGGGGAGTTCCCTTGGGGTTGTACTTCAAGCATCTCGTCAACTTTGCGAACCAAATCGGCAGCATAAATTTTCGACTCTTTCAAAAATTGCGAATCTATAACACAATAACGAAAATGTTCAGGCAAAATGCCGATGGTCACAATTAGATTATCCTCTAAGCGTACAACTTCATCCTGATTTAAGAGCATTGGTGATCTATTGGTTCTCTCTATTACATAACGTTTAAAGGCATTTTCAATAATTTTATAATGCGTTTTCTTCTGTGCGAACAGTTCAATTTTCTCTACAAAATTTACAACAGCCGCCTTTTGCTTAAGTACTACCCTCTCCATATCTTTTAAATTCAATTTCTTCATAAGATTCAAATTAACCTGAATACTAGTGTGGGCGGTATACTGTTGTTCATCGTCGGCCAACACACATACTTTTACATAATATTCCTGCTCGCTTGGTGTTTTCATAGAGTATACGTTGTTCAATTCCAAAAACTCAGGCCAATTACTTTTACTCAGATATACGTCAGAAATTTGTGAATTTTCCTTCCATTCACCACTAATAGCGCGAAATTCAAAAGTATGTGTACTTTCCCGACGCAAATCCTTTTTCAAACGAATAATTTTATCATTTCGACTTGATTTCGCTATTGACTCTGAGCGAGATAGCTTTTTAATATTAGTAGTTGTTGTCGAACGTACTAAATGGGGATCGGAGTTTTCTTCAGTCAAGTTGCGAATCCGAGCGCTGGTGCGGCTTCGACTCAATTGACCTAGTTCATTTATGTTTGAATCGTTGGTGTCCGACGAAACACCATTACTGCTACCATTCGTAATATCCTTATACAGATTCGGTGCTATCACCAACTCTGTGTTGTGGTCAATCCGGCCATACGAAACAATTGGTCGTACACGATCTGTAATAATTTCAAAAACGTTATTTCGAGATACTCAGTATTATTTTTTTCTTTTACTTACCTACTGTTAAGGCCACTTGCATTGATTTGTTTATCCATATTATAAGAATTTGTGTAGAATTTACAATGCGAATTTGTTCCAAAACACTATTCGAAATCTTTTCACCGCTTAATTCCTAGTGAATAAAAAATGCAGAAAGCCACATTACACTAGTGCTAGAAGCCTTTGAAAATGATAAAAAAAAGAAGGACAAACTAAAGATAAAATGACAAACATTAAAGGAAAAATAATTTACCGACAATCTGTGGCCGGGAAAAGCAAGAGGAGGGTCGTGCGTTCAGCAAAACTACGACTCCTTAAGAAAAAAGTTATATGACAATGTTGTAGTAAAATCGTCATTAAATTTAAAAAAGAATATAGTACTCGTATATTTGCGACATAAGGCATGTTTTCACCAAATTGCGTCAAAGAAATACAACTTTTAAAGAATATAAATAAAAAAAAAATTGAATTTCTCAGCTTTTCTCTTAACGAAGAAGTTATGTGAAAAAGTCGTTCCACAATTTTCTTTTCCTGACTTAAGTTCCTGGTTATCTTTTGTTATTTTATCTCTCGATAATGACGGATTAAGCTGATCATTTATATGTACACTTGATCTCCGTTTTGCACGGTTAGCTGGGAGAGCAAATTACAAGGGCAAAAAAACA